CCTTTTAATTTCGACGTGCTAGTATGATTTCTCTTTCTTCAGCCCACCTCCAACAAAAATCGAACAAAAGCTAGCTAGGCATGCTTCTCGTGCAGCGGATCCTTCAATCCTTCCTGGAGTTCGACCTATTCCCAAGGAAGTTTCAGATTCACTAAGAGACCAACTCACACCCGGAAAATACTACGCTAAGTTAGTTTAGATTTTTTGTTTTCGACTTCGAGACGATTTTGTATGTAAGAATTGGGAAATAATGGGTTGGAGTGATACTAGATTGCTAGGAATTAGCTATATATTCGTGCACGGAAAAACTTACCTGATTCAAAAAAATGAGTTCAAAATTCTAATTTATAGGTCTATGACACAATACCTTGGCCCCTTTGACGACGAACCGACAGCTGAAACATTACCCAGTGGCGATACCTACTTCATCCTGCAGGTTAGTAGCCAATAACCTGAGTATCAGTTTTTCAAAGACTTAATCATATTTTATCATATTTTGCTTGCTCGCTTTCAGAATATGGGACGTCTTGGTGATACGGGAAAGTGCGTGTTTCGGCATGTGAAGCAGATCAACGTGTGAGTAAATTTTTGCTAGTTGGTTTGAAATGGAATTTTTCAGTCACAGTAGTCATTATATTTTCCCTCGAAATACTTTTATTTAGGCCAACCAGAGAATTTCCCCCTCCACGTCCAATCTCACCTTCGGAGTTGCCGGGAGTACGATCACTAAATGATGAGTTGGATGAAGACGCCAAGGAAAATCTCGTCCCAGGACAGTATTATGCAAAGTGAGCGAGGATAAATTTTTCAGTCAATATTGAATTTATCCTTGCGAATGTTTAGGTCTATGAGTCGATACCTCGGGCCTTACAATTCCATCCCTACCGCGGATATCCTTCCTTCCGGGGACTCGTACGTCATTCTACAGGTAAATAACATACAATTATACTTGGATTCCAAGTTAACCCAACCGAATTGATAATGTGCAATTTTTAGGAAATGGGTCGTATGCCAACGGGAAGTATGATTTTCCGAAGAGT